TTCTAGATACAAACATGCAATAGAATGAAGTTGGTTCCTTACCTAACACCATGTAAAAATATTAACTCAAAAAGTATTAAAAACCTAAACATAAGACATATATTCCTAAAATATTTACTTCCTTTTAAAGGTTAAATGTTATCCCATTGGTTGTATGTATAGCATTAAATAGTAAAACTCATAGAAACAAAGTAGATGGGTGGTTGCCAGAGGCTGAGGGAGTGGGAAAGGAAAGGAGGAGTTCCTGATCAATGGATTCAAAGTTCCAGTTATGCAAGATGAGTAAGTTCTAGAGATCTGTTGTACAATATTATGCCTATGTTTAATTATAGGTTATTATGCACTTAAAAATTTGTTAAGAGAGTAGATCTGATGTTAAGTGTTCTTACCACGATTTAAAAAAACTCACTGAAGAAAACAGGGACAAAATTTCATGGCTTTGGATATGATCTTTTGTATCTGATACCAAAATCACAGGCAACAAAAGCAAAAATAGATGAATGAAACTACATGAAACTTAAAAGCTTCTGCCTATCAAAGGAAACAATCAAAAGAGTGAAAAGACAACCTATGGACTATGAGGAAATATTTTAAAATCATATATATAATAAGGAGTTAACATCCAGAATATAAAAACAACGTATGAAACTCAATAACAAAATTACTTTATTTAAAAAGGGGCAAATGACATGAATAGACATTTTTTCCAAAGAAGATATACAAATGGTGAACAAACGTATGAAAAGATGCTCAATATTACTAATCATTAACAAAATATCAATCAAAACAATAATAAGCTATCACCTCACACCCATTAGGATGTCTACTGTAAAAAAAGAATAAAAATCCTAAACTTTGTAACCTCAAAAGACCTTGAATAGCCAAAGCAATCTTGAACACAAAACCAAACAGCAACAACAACAAACAATCAAAAACAGATGGAGGCATCACATTATGTGACTTCAAAATCTATCACAAAGTTATCATATTAGTGGCATAAAAACAGACACATTGACCAATGAAGCAGGATAGAGAGCCCAGAAATAAACTCATGCTATTTATGGTCAGTTGATTTTTAACAAGCATACAAAAACACACAATGGAAAGAACAGACTCTTCAATAAATGATGTTGGGAAAACTGGATATCCACACTGAAAAGAATGAAGTTGGACCATTATCTCACATTGTATACAAAAATCAACTCAAAGTGGATTTAAAACTTAAATGTAAGACCAGAAACTGTAAAATGACTAGAATAAAACATAGAGAAAATACTGCATGACATTGGACTGGGCAAAGCTTTCTTGGAGATGACCCCAAAAGCACAGGCAACAAAAACAAAATAAATTAATGGGATTACATAAAACTGAAAAGCTTCTACAGCAAGGAAAACAATTAATAGAGTGAAGAAACAACCCACAGACTGGAGAAAATACTTGCAAACTATACATCTGACAGCGAGCTAATGTCCAAACATACAGGGAACTCAAACAGCTCAATATAGAGAAAACATATAACCTCATCAAAAATATGGGCAAATGACCTGAATAGACACTTCTTAAAAGAAGATATACAAATGCCAACAGATATACTTAAAAATGCTCATCATTAGTAATTAACAGGAAAATGCAAATTAAAACCACAATGAGATAACACCTCACCCCTATTAGAGTGGCTATTAACAAAAAGGTAAAAGATAAATGTTGGTCAGGGTGTGCAGAAAAGGGAACACTTGTGCACTGGTGGGGGAAATCTAAATTAATACAGCCATTATGAAAAACAGTAGGGAGTTTCCACAGGAAACTAAACATAGAATTACCATATGATCTACTAATTCTACTTTTGGGTATTTATCCAGAGGAATTGAAGTTAGTATGCCAAAGAGGTATCTGAACTTCCATGTTCACTGCAGAATTATTCACAACAGCTAAGATGGAGAAACAACCTAGGGGTCTAGCATCAGATAAATGGATAAAGAAAATGTGGTATATATACACAATGGAATGTTCTTCAGCTTTAAAAGGGGGAGGGGGATAGATAATGTCTTTTGGGACAACATGGATGAACCTGGAGGTCATTATACTAAATGATATAAGCCAGAAATAGAAAGGCAAATACTGCATAATCTATCTTATATGTGGAATCTAAAGAAATTAAACTCATAGAAGTATAGAGTAGGATGATGGTTACCAGAGGTTACGGAAAGGGGGTAAAATGGCAAAAGGGATGGTGTTTATCAAACTATTCAAAATTTCAGTTCATAAAAGAAATTAGCTTTATTGATGTATTGCACAAATTGGTGACTGAAATATTTGCCTATCTCAAGGTCATAAAGATACTATTCTCTTTTCTTCCAGAAATATTTATCTTTTACATTTTTATCTATCTCTAGTGAAATTTGTTCTTTAAGATTATCTTGGCTATTTTCAAGTACATTTTGGAAAGACTTTGGAAATCTCTCCAAAGAGCTTGCCGGGATTGAATCTATAAATCATTTTATTGATATACTCCAATTCATGAACATATTATAATCCTACATTTATTTAGATTCTTAAATTTTGTTTCCTGAAGTTTCATATTTTTTGTTATAGAGGTATGAATCACTTTTCTATAGATGTATTCTAAGCTACTTAGTTTTTTGATGACATTGTAAACAATGCTTTATAAATTTTTATTTTCTATTTTTTGATACATAGAAATACACTAATTTGAATACAGACATATCCAGTGAACTCACTGACTTCTCTTATTTACATTAATTAATTTCTTTAATTGACAAATAAAAAATATACATATTTATGATGTATGAAATGATGTTTTGACACATGTATACATTGTGCAATGATTATATCAAGTTAATTAACATACCTATCAACTCACATACTTAACATTTTTGTGATCAGTATATTCAAAATCTATTTTATAATCAATTTTCAAGCATACAATACATTATTATTAACTTTAATTTTTATATGTGATTCTTTATATTTTCTACAAATACAATCATCATTTGTGAATACAGATGTAGTTCTTACCTTTTATTCTTTTATATTATTTTATTGCACTGACAAAGATTTGCATTACAATGTTTAATACAGGCAGTGAGAACAGATAATCCTCACTAATTCCAGAACTTGCTAAGGGGAAGAGAGTTGGAAATATTTCATCTAAATATGATGCTTGATCTAGAAGACTTTAAATACTACTATTTATCAATTTTTAAAAAAATCATTCTATTTCTAGTCTTCTAAGAGTATTTTTATTTATTAAATGTATTTTTGCATATATTAGCATTTTTCTTTCAGATGGCTAGTACATAGACCTGGACCCTTGACCTTGGTGTTATAACATGGCACTCTAACCAACCGAGATAACTGGCAAGCCATAGATTACTGTTTTTCTTATTTCCTAAAAGCTTGGAGGAAGTATAGGCTTCAAATTTTATTTTGGAGAAAGCTCTTAATAATAGACTATTTTTCCCAATTTTTGTTGGTGCTATGGTTTGAATACAAGGGTACTTCAAAAAACTCATGGAAAAATTTGTATTATCTTTTAATTCTATTTTTCCATAAACTTTCTGAAGTACCCTAACATGTCACCCCAAATGTATGTGTTGGAAACTTAATCCCTATTGTAACAGTGTTAAAAGTTCAATACTTTGGGAAGTAATTAGGATCAGATGAGGTCATCAGGGTGGGACCCCCTATGATGAAGTCAATGGCTTTATAATAAAGGAAAAGAGACGTGAGCAGGCATGCTCTTACTCTCTTTCCCTGTGCTGTCCTCCACCACATATAGCACAGCATGAAAACCCTCACTAGATGTAACCTCTCAAACTTGGACTTCTCAGCCTCCAGAATTGTAAAAATAAATTTCTTTCTTTATAAATTTCTGTCTGAAGTGTTCTGTTATAACAACAAAACATAAAGACAGAAAATTGGTATTACGAAGTGGGATGGTTACTAATAACAAACACCTGAAAATGTGGAAGTGGGATTAGAACTGGGTTAATGGTTAGAGGCTAGAAGAATTTATAGGACCAGGCTAGGAAAATCTTATATTGTCAGGATTGGAACATAAAGGTTAATTCTGGTTACAGCTCAGAAGAAGACAGGAAAACTAAAGAAAGTCTGAAATTTCTTAGAGATTACTTAAGTTGTCATGACCAGAATGCTTATAGAAATGTAGACAGTAAAGACCACACCGATAAGTTCTCAGATAAAAATAAGGGATAGCTTATTTGAAACTGGAGTAAAGGCCATCCTTGTTATACAGTTGCAATGACCTTGGTTGCATTGTGTCCCTGACCTGGGGTGTTGTGAAAGGCCAAACTTGAGAATGATAAAATTCTAAGCAGCAAAGTGTTCAAGATGCTTTATGGCTATTTTTGGCTGCTTACAGTGCGATTTAATAGCATAGGGATGGCTTAAAGACAGAACTTATAATTAAAAGGGAAACAGAGCAAAACAATTTGGAAAATTTGCAGCCTGACCTTGCAAAAAGTGAAAAAGCATGCTCAGGTGTGTCCAAGCAACTGTTTGCTTAAGAAATGAGTACTTATTAAAAGGAGTCAATGGTCATTAATCAAAACAATATAAGAAAGTTCCCAAAGGCATTTCAGAGATTTTCACAGCTTACCCTCCCATTACAGCCCTAGGGACCTAGAAAGGCAGAATGATTTCAGGAGATGAGTCCAAGGCATCAGCCAGGGTTGCCTCAAAACTCTGCTCCCTGAATTCCAGTGCAGCTCCTCTCAGCCACCACAGTTGTGGGTCAAACAAATCCCTGTGGAGCTTGTTGCTGCTCCTTCAGATGGCACAGGCAATAAGCCTCAGTGGTATCTATGTGGTGCTAATTTTGCAGACATGCAGAGCAGAATTTAAGAGCTGTGGGGCATGGTTTCTTCCAACTAGATTTCAAAGAATGTTGCAGAAAACAACCTAAGCACAGGCAGAAACCTGCTGCATGGGTAGAGCCACAATACGCCTACACTAGAGCAATGCGCAGTGTAAATGTGCGGTCAGCACTGCTACTGGGACCCCAGGACTGTACAGCTATCAACAGAGTGAAACACCTGCCTGAGAAAGCTGCAGACACCAGTGTGCAACTTGATCTCAAGAGAGCTGGAGCATGGGTTGAGCCCAGACAAGCCATATGGACAAGGTTGCCCAAAGCCATGGGGGACCACTGCCTGCCCCATTGTGCACAGAATGCTAAACATAGAATCAAAAGAGATTATTCCCCAGCTTTAAGATTTAGTGTTTGCCCTGCTGGGTTTCAGACTTATTTGGGACCTATTACTCCTTTCTTCTGGAATATTTCTCACTTTTGAAATGGGAATTTGTACCCTATGCCTGTCCCACCATTGAATCTTGGAAGTAGATAACTTGTTTTTATTTACAGGCTCACACCTGAAAGGAGGTTGCCTTGAGTTTCCCATGAGACTTTGGACCCTGGATTTTAGAGTTGGTGCTGAAACAGCTTGAGACCTTTGGGTCTATTGGGAAGGAATGGATTTATTTTGCATTGTGAGAAGGACATGAATTTGGAGGTCTGGGTGGAATGCTATGGTTTAAATATCTCCCCCAAATTAATGCGTTGGAAACTTAATCCTCACTGTAACAGTATTAAGAGGTGGGGCCTTTGGAAGGTAATTATGATTAGATATCATCATCAGGGTGGGGTTTCTGTGATGAGATGGGTGGCTTTATAAGAAGGGTAGGAGATAGGGAACCCCTATCTCTCACTGTACATGAAAATCAACTTGAAATGGATTAACGACCTAAATTTATGGCCCAAGACATGTAAATACCTAGAAGAAAACATAGTGGAAATGCTACACTAAATAGGAGTAGTAGCACGTTTTTAAGCAAGATTACAAAAGCACAGGCAACTAAAACAAAAACAGGCACAACTAAAACAAAAATACACAAATGAGACTACATCAAGCTAAAAAAGCTTCTGCACAGCAAGGGGCTCTATCAACAAAGTGAAGAGACAACCTAGAGAATGGGATAAAGTGTTTGAAAACTACATATCAGACAAAGGGCTAATATCTAGAATATATAAGCAACTCAACACAACAGCAAAAAGAAAAACAAACAAAAAATGAACACACAAAAAAACAATTAAAAATAGGTGATGGGCAAAGGACCTGAACATACATTTCTCAGAAGATGTAGAAATGACCAACGAGCACAGGAAAAAAAATGATCAACATTACTAATCAACGAGGAAATGAAAATTAAAACCACAAAGCACTACAGTTAGATGTGATAGTGTCTACTATCAACAAGACAGATAACAACCAGTGCTTGTGAGGATACAGAGAAAAGGGAAATATCCTGTATTGTTGGTTGGAACATAAATTGACACAACCATTGTGGAAAAGAGTATGGAGGCTCCTCAGAGAACTAAAAATAGATGTACTTTACAACCCGGCTATCCCACTATTAGGTATACACCCAAAGGAAATGAAATCAATATATCAAAAAAGACACCTGTTCTCCCATGTTCATCACAGCACTATACATAATGTGATGGAATGTGTGGAATACTTTTTAACTGTAAAAAGTGAAATTATGTTCTATCATTTTCAGCAACATGGATAGAAATTATTGAGTTAAGTGAAATAAGTCAGGCACAGAAAGGCAAATACTGCATGATCTAATTTATATGTGGAATATAATTAAAAAAAGAGGATCTCATTGAAGTAGAGAGTAGAATAATGGTTACCAGAGCCTGGGAGACGAGGGGTGCTGGGGGAGAGAAGTAGTGGACTAATGGGTACAAAACTCTGTTATCTACTTTAAGTGCGTCATTGTGCAGTATATGCATGGATTGAAAAAATACACTGTACCCTATAAATATGTACAAGTAAATATAATAAATAAATAAATAAACAGGAAGAGAGATACGAGCAGGCATATTTCTGCCCTCTCTACACGTGATGCCCTTCATTGTGTTATACGCTAAGAAGGCTCTCACCAGATAAGACTCCTTGACCTTGGACTTCCCTGCCTCCAGAAGTGTAAGGAATAATTTTATCTTTTTTTATAAATTACCCAGTCTGTGGTATTCTGTCATGGCAACAGAAAATGAACTAAGGAAATTAAGCTGTTTAGATTTTCTCTTATTCTAGTGTCACAGCTGATATTGGGGTTTTGCTCAGAAATTTTTCAATTTCATTAAAATTTTCAAAATCATTCACATAAAGTTTTTCTTAATATTCTTAATTATCTTGTTTTATGACTGTAGGAATGTGCCCTTTTTAATTCTTATTTTAATGTGTGCCTTATCTTTTCTTCATTTGTTTGCTTGGAATTCTTGCTAGATATATATGTATATTATTTTTCATTTCTATTTTTCTTATTTATTTATTTTTATTAGCATATTCATTATTACAAATCATAGTTATTCTTTATGCCCCTACCAGAACAATCACTCCCCAAACCCCCATCCTCCCCCTTCCCCATTTCTAGCATGCTTAGGTTTGTTGTCTCCTTTTGAAAGTTCAAAGTACTATTGTGGTCTTTACTTTCTTCCCTCCTTCCTTAATTACTTCCTTCCCTCAGTTCTCTTTTTCTTTCTTTCTTTCTTTCTTTCTTTCTTTCTTTCTTTCTTTCTTTCTTTCTTTCTTTCTTTCTTTCTTTCTTTCTTTCTTTCTTTCTTTCTTTCTCTCTCTCTCTCTCTCTCTCTCTCTCTTTCTTTCATCTTAACACCCAGTTAACAGTGAGGACATGGTGTTTCTGCTTCTGTGTCTGGCTTATTTCACTTAACATAATTTTCTCCAGGTTCATCCATGTTGCTGCAAATGGCTGACTAGAATTCCATTTTGTATATATATCACATTTTCCTCATCCTGTCATTGCTGATGAACACTTAGGCTGGTTACATACTTTGGTTATCATAAATAGAGGTGCAATGAACATGGAGGAGTACTGTCCCTTCAACATGATGATTTCCATTACTTTGGATATATACCCAGTAGTGGGATTGCTCGATCATAATGTAGTTCTATCTGTAATTGTTTGAGAAACCTCCATACTGTTTTCCATAATGGCTGCACTAGTTTACAGTCCCACTAACAGTACAGAAGAGTTCACCTTTCCCTGCATCCTCACCAGCATTTGTTATTCTCAGTCTTTTTAATAATGGTGAGTCTAACTGTGGTGAGATGATAACTCAATGTGGTTTTGAGCTACATTTCCATGAGTATTAGTGATGTTAAACATTTTTTTCAAGTACCTGCTGTCCATTTGTACGCCTTCCTTTAAATAATATCTGTTCAGATCCTTTGCCCATTTTTAATTGGATTGTTTATTTACAGTGTAGTTGTTTGAGTTACTTACATATTCTGGATATTAATCCCTTATCAGATGTATAGTTTGCAAATATTTTCTCCAATCCCATAGGTTGCCTTTCCACTCTGTTGATTCTTTCTTTTGCTGCGCAGAAGCTTTTTAGATTGATATGATCCCATTTTTTTTTCTTTTGTTTCCTGTGGTTTGGGGGTCTCATTCATAAAGTTTTAAACACTCCTACCCCTTGGAGTGTTTCCCCTATGGTTTCTTTTAGTAATGCTATGTTTTCAGACCTGATATTTAAGTCTTTAATCCATTTTTTTTTTATTTTGGTATATGGTGTGAGGTACAGTTTGTTTCATTCTTCTGCATATAGATGTCCAGTTTTGCCAGCACCATTTGTTGAAGAGGTAGTCTTTTCCCCAATGTATATTCTTGTTGACTTTGCCAAAGATTAGTTGGCTGTAAATATGTGGGTTGATTGCTGGGTTTTCTATTCTGTTCCATTGGTCTGAGTGTCTGCTTTTACATCCATATCATGCTGTTTTGGTTGCAATAGCTTTGTAATATAATTTGAAGTCAATGTGTGTTATGCCTCCAGCTTTTTTTTTTCCCCTCAGGATTGCTATGGTTAGTCAGGGTCTTTTGTTCTATACAAATCTTACGATTGTCTTTTTTTTTTTTTTTTTTTTTTCTATTTCTAAGAAGAATGTCATTGGTATTTTGATGGGCATTGCACTGAAGGTGTAGATCACTTTGGGTAGTGTGGACATTTTCACATTGTTGATTCTTCCAATCCAAGAGCATAGTATGTCTTTCCACCATTTTGTGTCCTCTTTCAGTAATGATTTGTCATTCTCATTACCGAGATGCCATTTATATTCAATGTATATTAAAGGCAAATCTATACAGAGAGAAAGCAAATTAGTGGTTGCTTGAGGCTGGAAGTGAAAATGGGGATTAGTTGTAAACTGGCTTGTGGGATCTTATCAAAGATTTGAAAATATTTAAAACCGATTTATGGTGATACTTACACTAGTAAAGTTAGTGAAGTCACTCATAAAAGTTAGTAAAAATTATTAAATTGCACACTTGATGTGGGTGCATTTTATGATATGTAAAATTTGTCCTAGTCCATGGGTGCTGTTATAACAAAATATCTGAGATTGGATAACTTATCAAGAGCAGAAACTTGTTTTTTTCACAATTCTGGTGGCTGATACATCTCAAGGTCAAAGTGCTAGCAGGTCTGGTTTCTAGTAAGGACTTTTTTTCCAAGATGCTGTCTTATTGTGGCATCCTCCAAAGGGAGGAAATGCTGTGTCCTCATGTGACAAAGGCAGAAGAGCAAGAGAGCCCAGGGATGTGTGAAGCCTCATTTATAGGGACTTACTTTCATTCACAAGGGAGAAACCCTCAAGATCTAATTAAAGGTCCCCCTTCTTAAAGCTACCCCATTGGCAACAACTGAATCTTAAAAGGCACACATTAAAATCATACCAAATATACTTCACTAATGTTGTTTTAAAAATAAAAGTTATTTTCAGCCTCTAATATTCAAACTTAAGCCTGAAGAGTGTGAAATTATATGGATAATTATGCAGTCTTGGAATCACTGGACAAAGATCAAAATTGACTTTTAACTCTGCTTGGATTGACAAATATAACTTTTTATGACTGTATATACTTTCTGCACTGATTTAGAGAAATTTTATAGTGTGTGAGACTAGAATTCTCACTTGCCTCTAGGAATTTTTTAAAATTTTGAGCTGTTTTATGAGTACGGACTCATCTAACAGAAAACCAAACAGGAATTTATACTACTAAACAT